CTCACTCCAAGGTCAGGCGATTGTATGGACAGCAAACAAAGTATCTTGACAACAAGATGCGCGCAGTTACTGTTTTCGTAAGGCTACATATACATGTCATCGATGGTTCTTTTTTGGTTACTCCCGCCTGAACCCGCATCCGCACCCGAATGAACAGCTGCACGATTCATGAGAGCGCGAAATCCCTCCCCATGAACCGTGAACGAGCCCTCGTTACAACCCCACCCCTCGTTCGGGAAATTTGCAAGAAGGAGACGCTGCTAACTCCCCCCGGGTTGCGGGCGATCATTGATGTCTGATCACCCCCTAAAAAGCCCTTGATGATGATGAAAACATTTCAATCGGGGAGGGGGCCGCACTGCATAGCATACTTACCTACATGAACGGCTACCCCATGAATGATGGAAACTTGTTGGCCTGGACTGGCCCATGAACTACTCACCTCAAGGCTCAAGGTCCCTCCTCGGCCCTCCTGGGTGCGGTACCATTGGATTGATACGAAAACCTGGACAATGTCCATCCATTCCCCTCCCGTTTCTTCGTATTCAAATACATCTAGAGCGGGTCATCCTTTTTTGTTTCGGTCCCTCTCGCGTTGGTCATCTTCCATTTGTTCCTCCAATCTTCGATGAGCGTAGCGGGTTTCGCTTGACAGACGTGACAGCTACAAGCTGCTTTGACCCCCTTCTGGAGGGGTTCGCAACGGAGCCAAGGTGAGGTTAGAGGCTCGTAGCCAAGCCCGAGGAAGTAAAGAATAAGGGGAAACCGTTACGCGCAGGCCAGTTTCGGCACGTGAATTGAACGGCTTGTTTGCAAACACTTCTTGGGACCAACGTTCGGATGAAAAAAAAAATGGCGAGAGACATCACTTGCACAAGTGACGAAACCGCGTTTGGGGGCGCGGCCAGACAGGCGGCCCTCGGCTCACTTACTCACTCACAGGCACACAGCTCACTCACTCATTCGCACAAGGTCTCATTCACTCACTCACTCACTCAACTTTCGGCCGCGACGGGCCAGGGTCACGGGGGCGCGGACGATCTGGCACATCTCACTCACCACAAGTTTGTTTCCGCGGCACCGCCGTCCCGGAACATGCACCCAATGCTTCCCCGGGCCCCCGGAACTGGGTGTTGGGGGGCCTGCAAGCAAACATTTCGTCTTGCATCAACAACAACCTCTTAGCCTTGCGAATTCAACACCAGTCACAACTCTGTTGGTGCAAGGGTTTCTTCTTCTTTTTTTTTTGCTAATGAATCTCATTGTGTTGGTCGATCATGAACTTACGCTATGTACGAAATCACAAAGTTACAACGACATGATACAAAGTTTCCAAACCAACGAGATCGCCCTCGGCGGGCAACGATCATCCATCCGGAACCGAACAAACTACAGATACAGGGTTGACAAGCGTCGCTCGCTCCTTGGCTTTTTTGTGTTTGTTTTCTGCCCACTTGGCAATGATGAGCTGCATCAGGAGATTTTCTGCTGAGATCTGCCGGTCAAATTTTCTTTGAAGTTTTATTGAAACATCTTCTTACCCTTGTCCGCTTTTTGCATCTTATTTCTTTTGGCCTGTTTTCTCTCCTTACGGAAATTTCCTAGGTCACTTTAGGCTACCAATTTCTTCCACACGGGATATTCCGTCTCCCATTTTCAGTTATCATGGGAGGCCTCGAGATGGGCAAGTCTGTCGACCTGTGTGGTTTTCCATTCTTCGATGCAAATGTGTGCGTGTGTTGTATGCGTGTGCACTTGTGGACTTTGATCAATCTTGTGTTCGTTCCTCAAGACACAAAATCGCGGGACTGAGGCTAAGCGGCCCGTCTTCCGCGTATTTACTCGACTATTCGGGTAATACGAACGCCTGGCTCCGTGGTTCTTCTCGGGGTGGGCAAGATGCTTCATCCCAGGGGAAAAGGCCAGATAACAAAATTCCAAGCGGAACGGCGGGATATCCCCAGCGAGTTGTCATTGATAAAAGCTGGCTCTTTACAGAGTTGGTAATAGAATGACTCCGCTGACGCTGTCGTGACGTCTGCCTCTCTTATTACTTCTCCAAAAAGACGCTTTCTTCTCACCCGGGCGGAGTGTCTGCGGAGTGACGAACCGAACCGAGAAAAAAACGTGGTGCGGTCGGGTTTCCTTCGGGTAAATGTTGAGCGAAACGACTCGTTTACGCAGACAGCATTCCCGGGTTTACTATCTGTACAAGGATATAGCTAAACCTCCCCATCGCGAAATCCCTCACTCTTGAATCTCCAGTAGTATCAAGTATAGGACAGAGTGACAATCCGACCAAAACAACGTTTCTTTGGATCGAGTTTGCCGGGCGATATTACACAAAAGTTCACTCTGTACAACCAAACAGAATGGCACCTCTTCAGACATGGACGGTCGATAAGCCGTACCTCAACATCCACTGCGGCCTGGGCGAAGGACCATACTACGAAAGGGCGGCCAACATCCTCCGCTTCGTCGACATCAAGAAGAAGAGGGTCCACTTTGTCAACCTCGAGCAAGGGCCCGAGTCCCTGCGGACGGTGCAGCTCGACGTGCCCGTCGGCGTGACGGCCGACGTCGAGGGGGTCGACCCGGCCGACAAGATCCTGGTCGGCCTCAAGTACGGCATCGCCGTGCTCGACGTCCGGTCGGGCGAGTACGAGTACGTCGCCAAGCTGCACGACCGGCACAATGAGAGGCTGCGGTCCAACGACGGCGCCGTCGACCCGAACGGACGGTTTTGGCTTGGTACCATGACGGATTTCGGGCTGGGTGATTTCCAGGTTGAAGGTATGTTACGAATACTCTCTCATTCGGCGGGGGACGTGACATGAACCCTTGTCACACCGCATCTCTCACTCACCTCACAGCCCCCGTCGTCATGACAACACAAACCTCTTCACCGCAAGCACACTCCCGAAAAAACCAACATGCACCAGAAGAAACCTTGTAAGAAGAACATGAACTCACTCATCGGGGTCACCGACCCCCTCCCCCCTTAGGCGCACTGCACCGCTTCGACGGAAAGTCGGGCAACGAGCAAGTCCTCCAGGATATCCTGATCCCCAACTCGGTGGGATGGTCCCCGGACAACAAGACAATGTACTTTACGCACTCCACCGACCGTAAAGTCTACGCGTGGGACTACTCTGTCGCCGACGGCGGCGCGCTCTCCAACAAGCGCGTCTTCTACAGCCACGACGGTAAAGGCGAGCCCGACGGCTTCCGCGTCGACACGGAGGGCAACCTGTGGCACGCCGTCTACGGCGAGGGTCGCGTGCTCAAGATCTCGCCCCAGGGTCGGCTCCTTGGCGAGGTGCGCGTGCCGACGCTGGCGACGAGCTGCGTGCAGTTTGTCGGGACCGAGCTCTTCATCACGACGGCGCAGCTTGGCGAGGACGAGGGGACCGAGGAGCAGAGGGAGCTTGGGGGCGCGTTGTTCCGCGTCGATGTTGGCGCCAGGGGTCTGGAGCCGTTTGAGTTTAAGCTCTGATGGAGGGGGTTCCCGGGGAGGGGGAGATGGATCCGGGCTTTGGATTGAGGGTTCAACGTGAGTTTGGGGTAAAGTAGCGCGTATCGTGGTTGAGGTCGTGGTCTCGTTTCATGGGTTCATGGCCGCGATTCCCACGGATGGGGTCTGATGAGCATGGGGGCATGTGTCACGTAGCTGCATCAGATACGAAGCGCGTCCTTCACGATACCCTCACAATGGAACACGAGCTATGGTACTTCGGGGGGGCCTGGAAAAATGAATGGCTAGGGTTTCTGAGTCCAGACTCCAAAGGAAACTAGGTAGGCAAGAGGGTGATAGTGGGATGCGTTGATGACGGCAATGAAGCATACGACACCGCTCTTTCTCTCCCGGCCTCCCTCTCTTCGTCGCCGTGCTTACCCGCGTCTCGCTATCGATTGCTAAAGACTCATGCTACCTTGATATCGTGACATTTCAATGGCCAGGTTTCTCACGGACGTGGACGACGATAGCTTGCTTCATTAGGACTGGAAGCAGAATGCGTTGTCGATGGCACCGGGTCCGAGGCCTAAACACCCTGTCTAACCTGCGCTTCTTGCGCTTCACGATAATATCTTTTGGCGGTTTGCCTAGGAAAGAGCCCTTTGACTCATGTTTGTTGCCAATTGAGTTGGTGATATGCACTCCGTATTGTATATAGAACTGCAGCATGCAGCAGGTTCGCCTCACTTTTACACCGTTCAGGTCCATTCATATACGGAGGGTGGGAAGAAGCAGGGGAGATGCAACTGGCTTTTTTCTTTTTGCTTTTGGGCACCAATGCTTCTCGCAAAGTCTCAGCTCCTTGCTGCGTTTGCACTGCATGCCCAACTGGTCATACCCCATTGCATTCCATCGCGGGACGTATGGCAGCGGCGAAGGGAAGAGGTGCAGCTAGTGACGTCCGACATCGCTAGTGTATATGCAGAAAGGCAAAGGCCATGTATGTAGCCCGCGGAGGGGGAACATGGCCCAGCCTAACCCAACGAACCTGGCGGTCTTGTATACGCCCACCACACCCACACCTGTCGTCCGTCGTCGCCTATCTGCTGCATCTGCAACATCGACGTGGCAGGCTGGTCGCGGGTCATGTACACATACATACAAGACCCGTGCGGACCAGGTACCGCCGTCCGGCCGGGTGTTTCTCCCTCTCTTACGCTCTTGCTTTCTCGCAGTCCCGGTTTTCTGAGATCGGAGAATTAAAGTGGCTCCCCAAAGGAACGAACGACCGGGGGCTGCCGCATCGTGCAGTAGATCGGAGCCCGAGCCGCCATGTCATCCCATTCCCATGCTAGACTGCCAGGGGAAGGGAAAAATCGAATTGCGGGATTGTGTCTCTTGGGTTTAACCTGGGCCTAGTCTAGCCCTTCCAGCCGGCCCCCAGGACCCCTGGTCTCCCGGCGATGAGCCCCGGATCCATGGTTTGCCGCCGCCGCCGCCGCCGCCGTCGCCGTGCCGTCCCACCGCTGGTTTTTCCAGCCCGCTACTTGAGTGCATACATGCGTACCGGGAATAGATCCTTGGGAAAGCCGTTCTGCAGCTCCGTCTTGACAAGGCGCAGACCCGCTTGCTGAAAGAGGGCGCGGAACTTGTCATCCACCCTGTTTTGCGTTTGCCATGCGTCAGTGTCCTGTGTATGTATGTGTATGTACATGTATTATGCAGGTGTCTTGCATGCGCCGCAGACCATCCAGTTACGTGGGCCATTGAGAGTAAACTGATGACCGCTACTGAGGCAAGGTTTCCAACAACATGACGGGCTGTGGTGGGAGAGCTTGGCGACAATAGACCAGGGTAGGAAGTCGGGGAGGAAGATGATAGGTTTGAAGGCGAACTCACCTCGTCACACTGCTGTCAACATCGTCGAATAGATCGACACCGCTAGTGCTCAAGTTTTCCTTGACGACGATGAGACCATCATTGGGGGCAACAACGGCCTTACAACGGCGCATGTAGACTACAAGCTGGTCGTCGGTGAGGTGGCCGAGACACCACTGGTTCCAAATGAGGTCGTAGGCGGTGCCATCAAGTGGCTTCCACTCCTCGAGACCAATGTTGAAGACGGATCCCACGCCAGACTTTTCCTGTAGAGCGGCGGTGAACTTCGCAATGGGTTCGACGATGTCAACTTGTTCAGCTACATCGAGAAGGAAACCCTCTGTGATGCGGCCGATGCTGGGGGTTGGGGGTTAGCAAGGGTCTGCATGACACGGAGACTTGAACCGGGGAGACAGGGATGTTGCAGCAAGTATCCGTACACCACGGTGAGAGGTTCCGACATGAGATGCAAAAAGTAAGACAAGGGTTGAAGAAACGGGTCAGGAGAGGCAAATCATTAGCTCGGCCCGCTCGTGCAGTGTTGCGGTTGCGGTGGGTAAGGGTAGACAGAGAGTGAAAGTGAGACAGAGTATGGAGTAAATTGAGCATGAGCAACTGCAGAAGGAGGCAAAGAAAGAAAGAAAAAAAAAAGGTTGGGAGGCGGTGAGTTGAGATAGCGGTGAGGGACGCCAGGGGGCGTGTACGGATATGAAGTTTGCGAGGTCGACTTTTGAAAATCAAACGCAAGCCATGTCCAATGTACGGGTACACCGGACGGAAGAGAAGAAAGTCGCAAGAAAAACTCACCCGGCCCCGCCTTCCAGAGCGCGGCTCACCGTCCGCAGACCGCTCTTCGAGCCAATGCCCAGTTTGGCGAGAAAGTTGCGCGAGCCCTGCAGGTCGACCTTGCTGATGTAGGGGAAACCGCCCAGCATACCGTTCACGTCGGCATCGATGCCCTGCCAGTAAGAACGGCCATCGGCGGCGCTGATCTTGGCGTCTGGCGGCGGTGTGGCTGTATGTTCTGCTGTTCCTGTTCCTGCTGGTGCTGAAGCTGCGGCAGCTTCTTCGTCACCGGGCATTGTGATGCAACGCGGGCAGCGACACGCAACCTCACTTGCTCGTCTTCAGCAGGTGTGTGTATGTGTGGTTGATGATGTGTGTGGCTCGTTGGCAGACAGCGTGGTAGTGAAGAAACGATCGGAGGTTGCTTGGCTGTGTCACATTGTTGAAGAATATGTGCACTGCATCACAGCAACAATGGTTGACGTGGATGCGAAGATGGAGATGACTCGGGTTTGTGCATCTTTACTGGATTAGAAAGAGTGACGTGCGTCTAGATGCATATAGACAGCTAATAGTACGCTAAAGCACAAGTATTGTTTAAACACACTTGAGAAAGCTCCTACCATGTGAGATAAGATAAGAGAGCACCGATAAGCCGATTAGATTGGGAGAGACATGGAAGTCTGGGCAGGCAGATAAGGAACCTAGAAAGTCGTCATCAATCACGCGAAAAGAAGCTCTCCAATCTAAGGTTAACCTCCCAACTCTATCATGACGGACTGCACCGGGCCCTTCGTTGCCCACTGCGCGCAATTAAGTTGCCATGAGAATGCTTGCCGGAATTTCTGCACTAGAAGAGTTTCTTTTGCCTTATGGTTCTTATATCCATCTGAACCTCCAGCCAACTTAAGTTAATCTCAGCTCCTGCAGCTGTCAGCCTCTCCCGGAACCCTACGGAACACCAGCGCGGAGCATAATCTCACTTCGATATCACGACGTGCCAAAATGACGACCTCGTCTGATGGCCCGTCGATTGCCAGGTCAGCCAGTGCTGTCTGGAAGACTCACTTCCCTTTCATATTCAGTCTGCATTGTGGCACCGCCTGCGCCCGAACGCACACCTCTATGTGAACGACACTTTGCAGGATCGTTCGGCCGTTATGCGCATCAATTTCCAGGCAGCGGGACGTTGGAGGATTCGAAGGGACGATTTCGACTACATATTCCAGACGGTCTCTGTCTTCTCAACTCCTGGAACCAGTCAGGTGACTGTGCTTTTCCATTCGGAAATAATTGCGACGAAGCGGGAACTGTTTTGCCTATTAGCCGGCCACCGACAGCAAAAGTCGCCGTACTCAGCCACACAAGTCCATGCCGTCCTCGTTCTCAATTGCCTCATGGGCGTTGTCAAACTGACTGGCTTCATCAACGGACGAGGTGGTTTTCCTGAAATGGACTCTCGAATGAAAATAGTTTGTCGTCCCGGTGGGATCGATGGGATTTCCTGTTGGGATTCGGCTGCGACGATGCTCACCTCGTCTCCCAGAGTCCCCACGACTCCGGCAAAACTTGTCTCTGAAGTGAGCGGCTCATGTCTAAAACTTCCAAAATCGGAACCCGAGGGACCGCAGTGTGGCCTGTGTCTCGAGTTGCAAACGATTATTTCCAAATACCTACCAACTGATCTGCGATGGAACCAGGAATCCGGGGATGCCAAGAGTTGTAACCAATATGCAACCGATATCAGGCGCGAGAAAGATTATGGAACAAAGGATCTGCAGATTCCTTGGAGGACATCGTTTCCTCAACCTCCAAGGCCTCACCCTGGACGCCTCGGCCATGGCCGGTGCCTTTGTCGACCTCTCTTGACCTGTCGACATTGACATCATGTGATACTCCAAGAAAACACAGCCCAGTCGAGGTTGTGCGTGGTGCGGTCCAGGCTTTTTTGAGGCAAGGGGCCTTTCTGGGCTGAACGCAAAGCCCAGCCGTAACCAGGCACGCCAGGTTTCTCCTACACACTACCACGCTTCTGATACTAGCCCGGGGCCCGAACGTCCAAGATTGGATCCCCTTTTCTTCCCCGCGGGGGCGGAACCTGCGGATCGCGTGAGGCGACGTTCGATTGCCTGTCTAGATCACTGGTTCGGTATTTCGGCAGCCTTGTGGCTGCATCTACTCGTTGAAGCTGTACGGCTCTTCGGCTTTTAAGCGCCGTGTCAAAAAGCTTGACTGACAACGGCCACCGACGACGGCATACTGCACCCGCGCCGCGTAAGTCTATTCCCTCGCATCACGGGTTTCCTTGAATTTTTCCTCGGTGAACACGATATCCGGAGCTGAACCAAAGTTCAAGGACAAGGGGCTGTCAGATTTACAGTTCTATGCTTCTTTCTTATTCCGTCACCAGGCCCTAGTCATTTGTCAATTGCGCATATCAGCAGTTCTCGAGAACGTCAAGAAATGCGCGCAATCCCCCCCTGGGACGTTTAATCCGCCAGCCTATCGAATCTTGTCGTTTTCGGATTGAGTCGTGGGCAACCATGCAACGAATGGTGTCGAGAAGACGACGAGCAGGGTGGGACGAAGCGAAGCGGTTTGAGGCGGTTTGACCTTGCTGTGTTCTGCAGCGACGGCCCAACCACAGCATCTTTCAACCACCAAAAGGGGATCAGGGGGATTGAACAAAGTTTGCTGCCTTCAAACATGAAAAAACGCGAAGAGAGGATCAGAAGAGGGGCACGAGCCAGGCAGATCACCCGTGGTCGTGGTTAATCGTGTGGATGTCTCTCCGGATCCCCAATGCTTATTCCTGAGACTGGCCAGGGGCGACCTTTGAGTTCCGAATCAAGCATGAATAACCTTACAAAGTCTGTGGGTGGCCCTGGTTCGCGCTGCATGATACGAAAAGGGTGTGGGACTGAAGACTTCGGACGAGGGAACAGAGTTTCGGTTGCCTCGAGCACCTTACCCTTTCTGAAGGTCTGGATGTAAAGGACTTGGGACGACGATGGACCGAGTCCCGAAACGACTCTCTGCGGTTGGCCTGACTCAACGGCTGTTGCTATTCTCATTACGATGCAGATGAGGATATCGACAAATCGTCTCTTGATCCATGAGTGGTGGCTCAGCGCCCAGCACATTGACATCTGTCCTGCTAGAGTGGTTTCAGGCACCCTCGGTCACAATGTCTCGACATGTTCCGCCTCACGCCACTCACAGTCGTATTGGGGCCACCTGATTTGGGACGAAGGACGAGTGAGTACATAAAGATCTGACCAGTTCCGCGTCGTTTGAATTTTCTTTTGATTTGGTTCGACGGCAGGCCTCACAGTATCAAATTTAATACAGACATTCCCTTGGAAACAGTTGCTTCGGTTCAACATTCATCACAGAATCATCTAATATTTCATCAACTTCGGTTCACTTCAGTCCATCAAAATGAAGTTCCTTACATTCGGATTCCTTCTCGCCTCGACGATCGTTAGCGTCAGCAGTGCTCCCACAGATATCGATAGCAGGGCTGTCAGGTAGGTCCAGGAGCATCACTCGTGTTGTATCGAGAAAGCCGACTAACAACACTTTCAGTTATCAAAACAACTATGACCAACACTTGGAGGACCGCGAGGAGCGCAAGGAGGCTCGCGACATCTCCATTCCCTCGTTCGCCGGCGTCGAGACCACCAGCGGTGTGGTCGCCGACATCGAGGTTGAGGAGAACGCCGTCCCTCTGAGGGCCCGCCAGCTTCTCAAGAAGAAGAAGGGCAAGAAGGGCAAGAAGGCTAAGAAGGCCAAGAAGGCGAAGAAGGCCGCGAAGAAGGCAAAGGCTGCTGCCCCCGCGAAGGCCAAGGGCAAGGCCGCGACCCCCGCCGCCGGTGCTGCGAAGAAGAAGGCCGCTACTCCTGCTGCTCCCGCCGCCGGTGGTGCTGCTGCCAAGGGCAAAGGCGCTGCTGCTCCTGCTGCTCCCGCCGGTGGTGCTGCTGCTAAGGGCAAGGGCAACGCTCCCCCCGCGGCTGCTCCTCCTGCTGCTGCTCCTCCTGCCGCTGCTCCTCCTGCCGCTGCTCCCAAGGCTCCCGCGGCTGCACCTCCCGCCGCTGCCCCCAAGCCTCCTGCTGCCGCGCCCGCCGCCAACCCTCCGGCCGCTGCTCCCAACGGCGCCGCGAAGCCCATCACTCCCGCTCAGCCGGCTGCCGTTGCACCTGCCCCTGTCGCTCCTGCGATCCCCGCGGGCAAGAACAACGGCAACTGAGTTACGTCTCAGCAGATGGTTGTGGAGGTTGGAGGTTAATGGATAGAGAAAATCAGCACTGGTGCTGGTTGCTTGATTCGGTTCACGAGGTTTACGACAATGCGCAGTTATGGCGATTTCACAAGGCCAAACAGATGTGGTGACAAAAGAGTTTAGCCGCATAGGACGTGGGCAAATCTCCTTCCCTTTGGAACCCTTCCTCCATCTCAGTGGTGGTCGAGTCCGTGGGCTTTCGTCCCTGACGGCCTCAAGAAGGCAGCCTAGGAGCTGTCATTGAGACGTCTGGATGAGTTAGGGGTTTGAGACCGGAGTGCGGAAGTACATACATAGCCACAACGAGCAATCCAAGCGTCAGACGTTTATTCCCATCTTCGTGTTTGTCTCTGTCCCTTAGTCGCAGTGAGTTGCGAGTGTTCGCCGCTCTCTACACAGTGATCTCGGATAGGTCGATGCGTATACATTTGTGAGACGAGATAACTTGGCGCTATGATGTCCGCGGCCTCCTCTTCACCAAGGAATCCCTTTTCTCGTTTCATGAATTGGACCCATGGAAACATGTTTCACTCTGGTCCCTGCCAACCACCACACCAACTTCTTCAAACCCACAGACATGCAGGTCATGTTATACCCATGTGCACGCTGTGGCCGTCTCAACTTCTCTCCTGCTTGCTTCCCCCTCCTCCCCCCTCCCCCCCTTCGGTTCGTTACATCTTTACTTACCAGTGTCACCATCCAAGGCCAAGTTTACGAGCGACGGGACCCGATCTCTCCGGCGACCTGATCAACAGATTGAATGCAACCCTCTCTCATGAGATTTTCCGAGTGGCTGAACCGAGATGTGTTAATGTAGCTCTGCACGATTCTTTACCCTCCTTTGGCAGCTACCTCGCCATCTGTGTAGAATTAGTCGAATATCTTAGCCAACACTCCCGACTCAAGTCCGAGAGCTCCGGCCGCTCCATCCGGTCGCACCGGACACCGACGACCAATAAAGATCTCACTCCCACGATTCGGGCTTTACGTCAAATGAAGCTTTCCCTGTCTGAGTCCACAGCCCCTCGAGGCAAGCCCACTTTTTCCTTCCTTTGTTGCGCTCTTCTCTCTTTCGTTCTTTTTTCCCCCTATCCCCACCGAATTAGCTATTTGCGTCCCCGTTTTGCCGCACGCACATTGAGGAAAATTTCAACGACCTAATCCACCATAAAGCCCACAACAACCCTCGCATGAAAGGAATAAGAGCAGATTCTGCTTGTGACCCTCCCATCAACGGGTATCCATCCCTTCGACTCCATCGAGTCGTTAAATGGCCGGTTGGCCCAATGGCAAGGCGTCTGACTACGATTCTGTAACAAGAACGTGTAATCAGGAGATTCTGGGTTCGACCCCCAGGCTGGTCAAATCTTTTGCCTCTGGGCGTATTCTACACATCAGCAGCCTAGTTGGTGATTTTTCCTTTTGTTTCCCTTCCATTTTGGCCGAATATGCCGAGTGTGTCTCTTCTTGCACACTCGAACGCCACCTACTTAGTCAGGTGAGCGGCAACTGAGCTCCGGTTGGGTGGCCGTGTAACGTGAAACAAGTCCCGAGTCTGTCGTAGGCAAGCAGAAACCCGGTCGCACTTACTGGCAACCTGTCTCTCCGTCGAGGGATTCGTTGACAGTGGAAAGGTGATCAATTTGATGATTGCAATCATTCGCAACGAACCGTAGGACGTTGACGAAAAACTCTCTGCCCACGAATGCAAAGATTTAGGGATAAGCTTAAACTGGGTGACAGAACTCAAGCGTGACGCGAACGAGAAGTTTGTTGTGGCGATGCTTTTAGCTACTGAGGGCCCTCGTCCCCTGTAGAAGCTCAGGCTTTTGCTCTGCAGTTTGTCAATCTGAGCTTGTTCAGAGAGGAAGACGTCATGATCATGAGTCGTCACCGGATCACGCGATAGAGTCGTTTTGAGTTTGTGCTTTTTGAGTTCGTTGTCGTCATCAGTAGGGACTTGGCTTCGTCGAAGATTGCTCAGGAGGCGAGAGAGTCTCTCAGAATCGCGGTCAACGATGTATTCTCAAAAGAATATGGTCTGCTTTCAACTCCATCCCTTCAATCGTATCATGCACACCTCTTGCCGTAAGGCATCGCCGCTCTCCTAAAGATTCCATGAACCTATGGCTCTTGGGCCATGTCGGAAGACTTCTCTTGCTTCTCCCCTCTATCAGGGATCCCTCGACGACTTGCAAAAGCTTATTCGCAACGGGCGTTGTGGCAAATTCTCCCTCCCCAATTACAGAGTCACACTTGGAATACAATCTGGCTCATGTGTCTGTTTGTTCATTAATCATGACTTGCGTTCGAAGTCTTGTAGAACAGACGAGCCGTCATCGAATAGCCTTTCCATTAGCCCAACTGTCAAGTTTCTCGAGGTTAGGTTTTCTCTGCTTCTTCTGCACACTGTCAGTCAATATGTCTTTTAGGATTAGTTGAGCACGTATTGTCTTGAGATCACAAACCCCGAAGGACCATGGCCCCCTTCTATGCAATTTAGTCAGCCCTTTGCCCGTGTAGTCGGTGGAGGAAGGAGAGCCTCATTATTCGACATTACATATCGATGCCTCTCCTTTGCATGATTTGTTAAACTCAAGATATCAGAAGAGATTAGCCAGGTGGAGAAAAATCGACTAATCAATCGATCCCATCCACATCAATCAACTCTAGGCTTCATTTACACACCAACGATCAAGCAAACACACTGTATGTAATAAGGCGTGATGCACCAAGACATACTATTGGATCGCCCCACTGGGTTCCGACTAGGCTTGGAAATGCATGTGTAGTCGGCATGTATGCAATCAGTGGCACATACATTAAGAAGGAAGTTATCCGTCAGGTGTTGATGGATTCATTGTTAAGCTGATGGGTCAAATGCTTCGGAGCAAAAAGGTTGCTCCTGGTGAGGATCGAACTCACGACCTCCGCATTTCTCACATTGATGATGTAATTATAAGAACGGCGCCTTCACCACTTGGCTACAGGGGCTTTCTTAACTTCCGACAAAATCTGGCTTATGTACTCTTGCTCAACCCCCGAAGCTCGGTCCGGCACCACGCGACGGTGCGGCGCAGCAACTGCCCATACATCCACATACACAAAGCACAGCCCGCAAAAGCATCCAATGCAACTCCGATTTTCATCACAAAGAGCGCTGTCCTCGAATTCGTCGATATGCTCTGTTCCAACGCGGCAATGTGCACTGTTAGTGCAGTACATTGCTGCAGTGCACCACATCTATTAGAGACTTTGATTGGGTGATGTGGTCTTTTGGTGGGGTCCGGATGACAGGTTGCTGGTGAGGGGGAGAACAGATCGGAGATTGGGAGTCAGATACCTTTAAAGTGCCCTGCAGTCGTTCCGCCCTCTTCTCAATGGGACACAAAATATGTCCGCGGCGCCAGGCTCAAATGCTCCAGCAAGTGCAAGACGAGTTGAGCGCGAGACGACCGGCAAAATTCGAAGCGGATGCATGTATTGAGATGGATATTTACTCTGAGCCTCTCCCTCAATTATTTGGCTTTCTTCTGAGAACATGTTCCATTGCACCTCTGCATTCTGACTGGCATACATATAGAAAGGATCAAACAAGGCGAAAGGCAGCTGTGAGGCACCTTGGTCCTTCAATACTGCTACCGTCGCCGCGAGCGCCGTCCCGGCAAGTGGGGCGCCCGGAGTCCGGAGGACGCTAAGTATTACCGGAGGCGAGCGATCCCGATGACTCTGGCCGGGACATCAGCACGTACCCGCTGGAGAGTCTAAGGGTAGATAACTCAGCGCCGTAATGTTTCTCCCGTCTTCCTATTTGGATGCATCGTCATATAGCTGATTTTCTCAACCTTTGAACGCCTGCGACTGCGAGCAAATTTCCCCGTTCACCTAGTACCTCATCCTCGTCAGCAAGCTTCTTCTATGAGACCCATCCTTCTTCCTATCCTCCGCTCTGTGCCCGCCTAGAACAGATACTTTCAAACACCCTCTTTTATTCTCCTAGACCTGCTTCTGATTAGCAGCTGACTCCATGATCTTGATGATTAGGCCCAAATCATCGCCAGCAGTTCGGACATAGATTGGACTAAATAAGAACGACTTCTGAGAGATCTCAGGCACAAGGCGACAGAGTAAAGACAAATTGTGGAACGGAATCTTTCAATCGTATCAGCAGATAACTAGGAAAATTCTTGAGAAATAATAAATCCAGAATTCCATCAAGCCAGACATCAGCCAGACAAAACCAGGAAACATGGGAACCCAGCAACAGGAATGCTTACATACATCGAGAGGCGTGAGTTGAGCCTTTATACGTTCAAACACGACACCGCATATGATTGTGCGATTGAATTCATCAGAGGTCGCCTGTGAATATAATCTAGGTCTTTCTACCTTACCGTACATGCCGCTAGAGATATCCCACCTTGAATCCAGTCTTCATCCGCTTACTCCGAATCAGACGAAAGGAGACGAGGAAATGGTCGATACCACAAAATTTAAGTCGTTTTTGGACCCCAAATTGCAGAGAAAGATTGAATTTTCAACGTACCGTCTCTGGGAATCGCCCACTGGACCTTTCGAACATATCAACTGCAGCTTTATATAGGTACACAGGGCAATACAACATGAAGCAAGAAAAAAGCAAGAAAAAAGCAAGAAAAAAGCAAAGGCTACCAAGATCGAGGGGCAAAAGGGGGCAGGCTGAGATGAAGAAAATTAAAGCCAAGTGCCTACTGGAAGCATAAGCCAGTCTAGTAAAATTGCCGATTGCCTTGTTCGAAATCACTTTCACCTCGTCTCCCCCAACGTCACACTCCAGCCTCACACGCTTCGTCCTCACTACTTCACATCTCGTACCCACCTTTTCACGTTTATCAACAGCCTCACTTCATACCTCAACACGTGACTTGGGATCATTAAGCCTAATCGTGTATATTCCGACTCACCTCTTCACAATAGCTGTTGACCATGATTTGTTCTTATAGAAATTCAACCTCTGGCTGTGTTCACCAGCCCTAACCTACCCATCGCTCCTTCCTCAGAAGAGATTGACAGACTCACGGCAGGTTCGACCTTTCCCCCCCACTGTCCCCCGAGCAACCTCTCTTCTTCCTCTTGACAACTTTCCCCAGAGCGGTCGATGATCTTTTCCACACGCTTACCTCTCTCTCCCCTCGCCATTCACTAGGCAATATCGTCAAAAGAAGCCATTGGCTTCACGTCTTGGCCTCTGAATCAGGTATATATACTCACTCATGCAAGTCAGTGAAGAGCCGTACATCTAACTCAGCACCAGGCTTACAATAGAATCTCATTGTTCATGACCTAGCTTCAGCAATCTTCTTTGACAGTCTTTGCTCATTTTCACTGAGCAGACTCGCCTACCCTTCGCAAGCACAATACCAGCAGCAGACAAAGCAGTCACAATGGATCACTTCGCCGAAGAGGAGAAGTTTGTTGATATCATCGACTACAAGAAGATGATAGTCAATCGCATTCCCGCGACCGTCTCGGACACTTACCGCAGCACACTCATCAAGACTATCGATTATTTCATCGACACTCCCGACCCTTCCAACTGCACTCTCTTTTGGAAGGTCAATGCGGAATATGTCTCTAATGTTGAGCCTCCCTCGCACTTCGTCATTGCACTCTGTCTCGCTTCGCCCTCGCTTGCTCTCGAGGGTCAAGCTCTTGAGTTCCAGAAGGACTTCTACGCCAAAAACCCCGATGTGGCTCACCACTTGAATGATTGGACCGTCCAAGGCCTCATCAATCACCACAACAAGAAGATCCTCTCTGGAGACATCACTGGCGATTATGTCCACAACATTGACGGCACCCCTTGGAACCCCGAGGCTATTGTCGTCAGCCACCCTAGCCACAAGCGCCCAGCCTCTGCCGTCGAGGATATGGTGCCTGGTCCATCGTCCAAGAGAAGACACTTGGCTCAGGAGGCGACCACGTCGCTCCCCTTCTTTGAGAACAAGGACACTCCCCGTCTCAACTTCCTTGCCCAGGCACAAGAGGTCCCTAAGGACTTGCGTCCCATCCTCCCTCCCATGCCCGAAGCCCCCAGAAGCCCGTCCATCGGTGATCTTTTGGAACTCCCCCTTCCGGATCGCCCTATCTCGCCCAATATCTTCCTCAACCCTATCCCGGGT